ACCCATGAAATCAAGATAAACATAATCATAATCCCAGTAGTTTCCTAGTGCCTCTTTGTAACCCTTCCCTCTAGCCTCTCAAAACCGTAGACAGAATTTTCTAGAATTCCATGTGAATGTGATTATACATTAGGTACTCTTTGGCTTCCTTTAGATTTATCCAAGTTGATCTTTTTTTTTTTTTTTTTGTATTACTGAGTAGTGTTTTGTTGTATGGACAATCAGCATTTGTTATTCACCTGTTGATGGACATTTGGGTTGTCTCTACTTTTTTGGTAGTTACAAAAAGGATGCTATGCACATTTGTGTACCAGTCTTTGTATGAATACTTGCTTTCATTTCTCTTGGGTAAATATCTAGGAGTAGGAATGATCAGTCCTATGATATATATATATATATATATTTAACCTTAAAAAAATTTCCAAATTGTTTTCCAAGGTGCTAGACCATTTTACATTTCCACCAGCAATGGCGAAAGCTTCATTTATTCTACATCTTTGCCAAAGTTTGGCAAGTATACTAAGCCTTTTAATTTTAGCCTTCTTATTGGGTGTGTAGTGGTTATCTTGTGGGTTTTTTTTTTTCGTTTAGTGAATGCAACTTTTAAAAAATTTTATTTGTGTAAATTTCAGGGCTACAGTGCAATTTTGTGAAATGGATATATTGCATAGTGGTGAAGTCTTGAGTTTTAGTGTATCCATCACCTGAATAATGTACATTTTACCTATTAAGTAATTTCTCATCACTCACCCCTTTTCTACTGTCCCACCCTCCCGAGTCTCCAATGTCTGTCATTCCACATCCTATGTCGATGTGTCCATATTATTTAACTCCCACTTGTAAGTGAGGACATGTGGTATTTGACTGTGTTTCTGAGTTGTTTCGCTTAAAATAATGGCCTCCTGTTCCATCTGTGTTGCTGCAAAAGACGTGATTTCATTCTTTTTATGTACAAATAGTATTCCATTGTGTACATATAATACATTTTCTTTATCCAGTCATCCGTTGATGGACACTTGGGTTGATTCCTTTTCTTTGCTACCGTGAATAATGCTGCAATAAACACAAGAGTGCAGGTATCTTTTTTATATAATGTTTTCTTCCTTTGGGTAGATACCCAGTAGTGGGATTACTGATAGTTCTATTTTTAGTTCTTTGACAAATCTCCATCCTGTTTTCCATACAGGTTGTATTAATTTACATCCCCACCAACAGTGTATAAGTGTTCCCTTTTATCCTCATCCTCACCAGCATCTGTTATTTTTTGACTTTTTAATAATAACTATTCTCACTGGTGCGAGATAATAATCTCATTGTGGTTTTAATTTGCATTTCTCTGACGATTAGAGATGTTGAGCATTTTTTTATACACTTGTCGTCCTCTTGTACATCTTCTTTTGAAAAATGTCTGTTCATGTCCTTTGTCCACTTTTTAATGAGATTATCTATTTTGTTGTTGTTGTAGTTGTTTCCTTATAAATTCTGGATATTAGTCCCTTGTCAGTTGCATAGTTTGCAGATATTTACTCTCATTCTGTAGGTTGTATATTCACTCAGTTGATTATTTCTTTTGTTATGCAGAAGTTTTTTAGTTTAATTAAGTCCCATTTACCTATTTTTGGTTTTGTTACTTGTAATTTTGAGGTCTTAGTCATGAATTCTTCTCCTAGACCAATGTCCAGAAGAGTTTTCCCTGGGTTTTCTTCTAGTATTTTATAGTTTCAGGTCTTATGCTTAGGTCTTTAGTTCATTTTGAGTTGATTTTGTACATGGTGAGAGATAGGGGTCCAGTTTCATTCTTTTGCGTGTGGCTATCCAATTCTCCCAGCACCATTTATTGAAAAGATATCCTTTCCCCATTGTGTTTTTGTCAACTCTGTCAAAGATCAGTTGGCTATAGATGTGTGGCTTTATTTCTGAGTTCTCTATTCTGTTCCATTGATCTGTGTGTCTGTTTTAATACCAGTACTGTGCTGTTTTGGTTACTATAGCCTTTTAATATAATTTGAAGTCAGGTAATGTGATGCCTCCTTTTTACTTATGGTTGCTTTGGCTATTCAGGCTGTTTTGGTTCCATATGAATTTTAGAATTGTTTTTTTTCTAATTCTGTGAAAATGACAGTGTTTTAATAGGCAGCAGTTCCTCACCTTTTTGGCACCAGGGACCAGTTTCATGGAAGACAATCTTCCCCCCACCCCACCCCCCATCCCCAGGCAGGGGTAAGGGTGGGAGGCAGAGCTCAGGTGGTGATGTGAGCGATGAGGAGTGACTGTAAATACAGATGAAGCATCACTGGCTTGCCTGCTGTTGGGGACCACAGCTGATAGAGATTGCATTGACTCTGTAGATTGCTTTGGGCAGTATAATTATGTTAACGACATTTAAACCTTTCAATCCATAAGCATGGGATGTTTTTCCATTTATGTCATCCACAATTTCTTTCACCAGTGTTTTGTAGTTTTTTTTTTTTTTAATAGAAATCTTTCACCTCCTTAAATACATGCCTAGGTATTTTTTTTAATTATTGTAAATAGTATTGCCTCCTTGATTTGGTTTTCAGCTTGATTATTATGATGTATAGAAATCCTACTGATTTTTGTACGTTAATTTTGTATCCTGAAAGTTACTGAATTTATTATCAAATCTAAAAGTTTTTGTAGTGGAGTCTTTAGGTTTTTCTAGATATATTAATAAGATTGTATCATCAGTAAACAGAGATAATTTGAGTTCCTCTTCTCCAATTTAGATGCCTTTTATTTCTTTCTCTTGCCCGATTGCTCTGCGTAGGACTTCTAGTCCTATGTTAAATAAGGGTGGTGAAAGTGGTCATCCTTGTCTTGTTCTAGTTCTTAGAGGGAATGTTTTCAACTTCTCCCCATTCAATATGATTTTGACTGTGGATTTGTCACATATGGTCTTTATTATTTTGAGGTATGTTCCTCTTATGCCTAATTTCTTCTTGAGGGTTTTTCTCATGAAGGGATGCTGGATTTTATCAAATGCTTTTTCTGCATCTATTAAGATCATATGGTTTTCATCTTTAATTCTGTTTATGTGATGAATCACATTTATTGATTTGCGTATGTTGAACCATGCTTGCATCCCTGGAATAAAACCCACTTGATCATGGTGTATTAGCTTTTTAATGTGCTGTTGGATTCGTTTGGGATTTTTCTAATGATTATTGATGTTGAGCATCTTTTCATGTGCTTATTTGCCATCTCTGTGTCATCTTTGAAAAAATATCTGTTCGTATCATTTGCCCATTTTTATTGGTTTGTCTTATTTTTTAATTATAGGAGTTCTTTATGTATTCTAAATACAGATCCTTTGCAGAATATGTTTACAAATGTTTTCTCTCGTTTCATGACTTGCCTTTTCAATTTCTTAAGAATGCCTTTTAGCCAAACAAACAATTTAAGATATTAATGGAGTTCTGAAAGTTCTAATAGAGTCTAGAGAATTAAAGCCAATAAGAAACTCGGGAAATTCTCACTTTGCCCTTAATGGTTATGGAATTACGCCTGATTATTCACTGGTTGCCACAAAAAAATCAAATACTTAACATTGCATTTCTCTCCGTTGGTGTAACTATCCTTAAATTATAAAAGGCTTAATATTTTATCTCAGCAAACTTGTTTTATAACAGGTCTTAGGGTTATCAAGATCAATAATTTATGATTTCTTTCTACCAAGTCCTCATTTTTAGTGTTTAATGTTTCTTCCTATTTATTACCTGTTTGTGCAGCCACGTACTTTCCTTTATCCAGTGCCAAGTACTAGAGAAAAAGAAGTGCTCAATTTATTTTTGTCCTTATTATAGTTATACTTTTTCAACACACAAAATATGTAAGTTCATTGTAGCAGGAAATCTCTTGTTCTTTATATCCTCCACAGATTATAATATAGTTCCTTGAACACAAGAGACACTCAATAAATATTCAATGACTGAATGGAATTATTGTTGACAGTTTTTTAGTAAGCTTTGCCTGATTAATATATTAGTGGTACAGTTGACCTTGCATATCTGCGGGTTCCACGTCCACAGAATCAACCAACCCAGATTAAAAATATTCAGGAAAAAAAAACAATAAAAAATAACAATACAACAAAAAATAATATAAGTAAAAACAATACAGTATAACAGGTATTTACATAGCACTTATTAGTACATTGTATGAGGTATTATAAGTAATCTAGAGATGATTTAAAATGTATGGATGGATGTAAGTCAGTTATATGCAATACCGTGACATTTTATATAAGGGACTTGAGCATCTGTGGAATTTTGTATCCTCTCATTTCAGGTGTGATCATTGCAATATATTGTTTTTCTAGGTAGAAGAAAGATCCTTGATTTTTATTTGAATAAGTTTGAGTTCAGTAATCTTTTTTTATGACCCTGATTTAACATTATTGTTATATTATAGAAGTCTGTCCGTGGTAGTATAGCATGGACTCTAAAGTCAGATACAGATTAAAATGACTTTCACAAAGTCTGCTTGTCTTAGTCTGTTTTGTGTTGCTATAACAGAATGCCACAGACTGAGTAATTTATAAATAATAGAAGTTTATTTGGTTCACAGTCCTGGAGGCTTGGAAGTCCAAAGTTGAGGGACCTAAATCTGGTGAAGGCCTTCATGCTGTAGTATCCCATGGTGGAAGGAAGAAGGGCAAGAGCAAGAGGGAGTCAAACTCACTTTGATAACCAACCCATTCCCTTGATAACGACATTAATCCATTCACAAGGGCAGAGCCCTCATGACCTAATCACCTCTTAAAGGTTGTACCTCTCAACACTGCTGCATTGGGGATTAAATTTCCAATACATAAACTTTGGCAGGGACACATTCAAACGATAGCACTGCTGTATTTAACAAGTTATGTATTTTATTTAACTTTGGAATTCCTTTTCTCAGTGAAACCAATGCATTAAAACAAAGAGTATATTTATTAAATGTATGGGAAAAGATGGCAATAATTTGCTTTCTCTATCTAGGTCCTAGGAACACCAACAAGGGAGCAAATTAGAGAAATGAACCCAAACTACACAGAATTCAAATTCCCTCAAATTAAGGCACATCCTTGGACTAAGGTGAGTCAAATGAGGTGTTTTTTTTTGTTTTTTTTTTTTAAAGCACATTAACCAATAGTGAACTAAAACTTGGATTTCTCGTTGTTCTTAAACTAAACTATTTTGAGACCAGATAGCTGCCTGAATTACAAATACACAGCAGTTCTGTATGTAGAGATAATTGAGTATTTGTACTTCAGTGTTTTATTGACTATATGTAGTTTTGTTCCCCTCGATTTCCTATAGATAATTCCCAGCCTGGGTTTTTATTTGCAAGATAAGGACAGTCTGTCTGTATCATTCAAGGATAAAATTTGATTAGAATCAGGATCGCATATATAAATTTTGACAAACTTAATTTCAGAAGTTAATTTCTTTATTTACTTAGAGGTGCATAGTTCAATATCATATAGTGTATGATGACATACATTTCATACATTTTCTTCTTCTTTTAAACCATTAAAACATAGACTTTATTATAGATGGATGGTATTGTGTGTTTTTCTTCTCCTTTACTTTCCTATTGGTGTTTTGGGAGCAGCATTAAAAGGCAGGCGTAATATTGCTGGGAGTATACGTTGAATATAATTGATATGTTAACTGGATATTATTAGACATTGGGAAAGCTTAGCCTTAACATTAGATGGAACCAAGTCTAAAGAGCAGAATTAACTAATTTACCAGAAGACTTTTTTTCTTTTTTTGCTTTGATATTTACATGGAATGATTTTAAGAGAGATTTTATTAAAAAGTTTTTACACCTCAGTTTGATTTGTGAGATTAAGCGTGCAAAGAAAAAAATAGACTATCTCGTAGGGTTTATAGCTAGAGTGAACCTCTAGCTTCCTCATTTTGTAAGGTTCAAAACTCTGCCCAAAGATACCAAGTGACTTTTCCAAGGCTACACTGGTGGCTTGTCACAAAGCCAAAATTAAACTTCCAGTGTGTGTGTGTGTGTGTGTGTGTGTGTGTGTGTCTAATGCCAGATCTTTTAAACTTCTAGTCATGTGCCTTGAGTGCTCCTTCCCCCTTTATTAATATCTCACTATATATTTTTCTTGGATTAGAAATGGTTGACTTTTTGATATGTATTTCAAGCAGACTTTCTATATTTAAAAATGCATATAACAGTTTATGTTGTACATTAAGTTCATTTTGTTGGTTATAGATTTTTTTTATGACAAGAAGTGAAGTTATTTAGGGCTGTAAGTAAAATAATTTACTGTCCTTAGAATCAAAGTATGTTTTTCTTTCTCTAAATGGTATTATGATTCCAGTTACTTTCCTTCAAGTTATCACAATCTCATTACCTCTCTTCAGAAAATCCTGTTATTACTAATTATTTTTTATTTAGAATCACAGACCTCAATAGTATTTTAATGCCAGAATTACAGGTTGTAGCTTTCACAGGCCAACAGACCAAGATGTTGCCCTTTCTCTTCTTAAAAATTCATAATAAGCACTAAATAGTCTAAGATGAAGTGTTCTTTGATCTTTGTATTCTGAGTTTATTTTGAATCTGGGTCAGCAGATAATTAGGGGCTCTCACCTGGCTCTAAACCCAGAGAATCTCAAGCGGCCTATTTGAATTTAGGGGCTGAGTTGCAATTTTAATGCATTAAGATTATTCCAAGTTAAAATGTTTATAATAAATGATTTATAGTGTACTATGATTTCAGTCATGTTAAGAGAGGAAAGACAACAACAAGAGAATTCTATGTATTGAATAAATATAGGGAAATATGCCAAAATGCTAACAGTAATTTTGTTGAGAAGAATGTAAGATTTTATCCTCTTTGTTCTACCTTTTCGAATTTCTATATTTTCTTTAATAATTATTATTTTTATGAAGAAAGAAAGGGAAAGTCATTTTTGGTTTAATCTAAGTATTTTTCATACGTTACCCTTATTATAGAATTTCTGAGAGATACAGTGCTGAAATTGCGGTCATGAAATCTTATTTAACAGCCCTCGTCCTCATTTTTTTTCCATCAAGACTGCCACCAATACAGTAGTCCCCCATTATTTGAGGTCTCAGTTACCCTTTGGTCAACCACAGTCTGAAAGTAGGTACTGCAGTACAATAAGATATTTTGAGAGAGAGCATTCACACAACTTTTATCATAATGTTCTAATTGTTCTATTTTATTATTGTTGTTAATCTCTTACTGTGCCTACTTTATAAATTAGACTTTATCATAGCTACATATACATAGGAAAAAATATAGTATATAGAGGGTTTGCCACTATCTGCGGTTTCAGGCATCCACTGGGGGTCTTGGAACGTATCTGCCATGAATTAGGGGGGACTGCTGTATTAGTGTGTGTTATATGCTGCATTTTCCCCCCTGGTTTATAGCTCTATGATGCAAGTATTAGCCAGAGTAGAATGTGAAGAATGATTGATTATAATTAAAATGCAGCCAACAGAAGAGCTGCAGTGAATTTGTATGCTTTAAACCATCTCTTTGCTCTCTTGAGTTTTTGATATTTCTGTATCTTACACTAATGCTTTTCAAACTTGAATAGTCTATCTAAGGCCCTTTTATTTAGGTTTCCATTCCCGTACCATGTGTAGAATGACTCAATTCTCCCACCTTTTTGGTCTATTAAAACTACTATGAACCTTTCATTCGTCTAGTGTCCTTTGACATAATTTGGCTTTCACGTCATACAAATGCATTATGTAATAAGTACACTTGTGTTAATTTCTCATTAATGTACACAACTAGGTTGGGTGTTACTGTGAGTGTAAACATAAAAGCAAATTCAGGCGTAAAAATTCCACGGTTCTTCTCTGTCATCTAGGTGATCCAGGATATACTTGTGTTGATTTTTTAAAAATTGGTTATTATTAGAAAAAATACAAAATTTAAAATTCCAAGAGAAAGTCAGTCCCCTCTCCCCACCATTATGATAATGGGCAGCAATTTGAGAAATGCATTTTATGCTAAGCAGTCAATAGAGTCATTAAAAAACCCTACACAATGTTCTCTAAAGAGAAGAGCATCTTGCCCTTAGAGGGCAGGTAAACAGGAGTGTGGAAACACCTGCTTTGCCTTTATTGCTGTCTTCTTTTAGAACCCACTTTTGTCCCATTTCCTGAAGCTATAGGCGTGTGAACCCTGCTTTCCTGTGCTGCAGTGTAATGCAGATATATCCCCGGAATTGGGAGCTGATGTTCTCCAAAAAATGGGCAGAAAAAAAGATTAAGACAGAAAATATCCTTCATGGAAACATTGAGGTGAGGAAATAATAGGTTTGTAGGAAAGATAGTGGGAAAACAAAAACACTGAGATGATCCCAATGTGGTGTATGGCAGGAATCTTGAGAATTTCAAAATCCAATAAGTTTCCCTTGACTATTACATAATGGCCACTGCAACCTAATTCATTAATAAAGCACATGTCATTTAAAAGTAGGAAAGGAAATAGGTGCTAATGTTTTAAAACAAGAACTGTTATTGGAGGTGTGGGTGGGGAAGATGAAGGCAAAACAAGAACTGTTATTGGAGGTGGGGGTGGGGAAGATGAAGGCCTCTGCGCTGGTGCATGCTGTACACTTCAAAGAAGAAAATCCATGTGGAAAGCAAAAGGAAGTGATGCAAAAGTAGATTGAGAATTAAGTAGAGACAGAGATTGGTTGGAAGAAGAGAGGAAGTAAATTCTGCATTTAGTACATGTAGGTGTGGTTAAATGACAGGTGGTTATATACGAATTTGAGGATCTAGTTTAAACATTGCCCCTAATGTCTATGCCTCAGCTTTTTTCTTTTGTAAAATAGTGATTATCTGTTTTTTTCCTCAGGGTTCTTTTGAAAATATGGCTAGGATCACTTTATTTTACTTCTGAATAAATGTGAAAGTTCTACCTCCAATATAGTTCTCTGATTTGTCCTCTTCTCTATATCTCCATTGCCCTAACCTCAGTTCAGGCCATCATCTTATCATAGAGTTGTTAAAACAAGCTCCTACCTCCTAACTGATTTCCCTCCTTCAATTTCACATTATTTCAATCCATCTTCCTCATTGTTGTCAATGTTAGCTTTCTTAAAAGTGCATATAATACTGTCATTCCTATTTAAAATTATTCTCTGATACCTCATTGCCTTTAAAAAAATTTGGCATAATATACATATAATTATAGACAAGGGTGATCCTATGTCCCAGTTTATCCTTGTCCGATGTAATTATTAATTGTTTCCCCTTTCACTCTCAAAAGTGTCCTAGTTTGGATGACAGATTATTCAGTCACTCTGTTCTTGATCTTTTTTACGTTTCCTTTCCAGAAAAACAGGAGATTTGGTTCTTGTCCTGCTCCCCACCTTCCCTGAGCTATCTAGTTGCTTGAACCCAGTCTCTTCCAAGTCCTCCAGCTTCCTACATCCTTAAGCACATATTGTTAGCAATGAATTTAAAAGTTTAGTGTCCAGTTAGGGTAGATTAGGGATTTCTAATAAGGTTATGTTATAGTGGATATATAAGTTTTTTACCCCCAGTGTTGAGTACCTGATTCTGCTACCCTTTTGTTTACATTTCTTTAAAACTAATATTTCCCCTTTATCCCGGTAATAAATAATCCTATGAGGTCAGTTAGGTAACACAAATGTCTGTATATTCCTTCAGAGCAAAGAAAAACATAAGTGATATAACTGGTTAGTGGAAGGAAGTAAATTAGAATCCCAAGGGTTCTGATCCCTTAACAATTATATTAGTGCTGTTTAATATGTTGATATGGGAGTATCATCCAGCTTGTAGCTTACTTTGAAGGGACCATGCAATCATGCTGAATTTTCTGGTCTAGTCAAACTGTCTCCTAATTGTTCCCAAGAGAAGCCACATTCATTTCTACCTCTTGCTGGTGTGTTTTTTTTCCCTTCTATTTACCAAGTCTTAACCTTTCTCAAGACCTCAAATCTCACTTTTCCCATGAAATATTTTCTCATTGTTGAGTTCTCTATGATTATTCCCACCACATAACTTCTGTAGCATCTACCAAATAATACCATTATAGCAGTTCCTA